AACTCTCTGACTCAAGTTCTATATTTTAAGTTAGTTTGTATTATAGTTAAATATATTAAATAAATTTATTTTTAAAAGAGTTTTTGTCTCTGCCACATAACAGTAGTAATGTACACGCTTTTACAATGTAGTCAGGGATTATATGCACGCCTTATCTATCAAACAATTTGAAATTAAATTTAGAAAAAATTGTTTAATAAAGGTTATTATAGTGCTAAAAAGTACATGGTTAATAAAATAGAATAGAATAATTTTTATTCAATATAGATCATATGTAATTCTTATTGATAGTAATTTTTTACCTTACCACTGCTTCGGAAAAAAACCTCTGTCGTGGGAGGAACCAGAAAGAAACCCTGCGGGACTTAAAAAATTTACAGTGTGACAATATGGTTACAAACTATTTACAAAACTTGTTTTAGAAACAGCTTGTAAGCGACCTCCTCGTTCCCAGAAGTTATTTTAACTATGTATTTATTTATATTATATAACTCTTTTTATGCCATTTTTGTTTAATTAAATATTTAAAGAGGTTGTTTATTAAATGATAACAACCCGTGGGAACGAGATGATGACTTTCAATAAGTATTTCTGCAATCTATATTGAATTAAAATGATGCTATTTTATTTTTAGGAACATTATCTCATTGTCGGATTAATATATTGGCAAGTGTGAAAAAAAATCTGGAGTCGAAAGATGAGCTTTGGTCTAGTTATTAATTCATTACACTGTAAAACGTCTGTATTGAATTCTGTTGATAAGAGAAAACAGTTCTGCTACGCCAGTTGATACTACTACAGAGAATATTTACTCAAGAAATTGTTTAATTCCCATTTAGTTACAAGATTCTACTTAATAGGCTGTTGGAGACCGCATTTCCTTGACAAGACATTTTCTACTCTATTGCAGAGGAACACTGTATTCATTCCCTTACGAAACACTCATTATTTTTAAATGAATACCTATTTTCGTATCTATTCGCCGAGGTTACGGTTGGTTTTGCATTGAATTTATTTTTCAAATCATTTATCAACTGGGATATAGCCCGTCAGTTCCTGATATCCGTGTAGCGTTATACCTCGCCTCAACGGGGGCGGTATTGCGATGTGTTTTGTCTGTTTTGTGAGATATTAAATATTCTATATGCTTTTGACTTTTTATTTGAGTATAAGGTAATATTTTTTTCTTTGAGTACATGTGTTTCAAGTTACAAGTTAAAGAGCCTAGGCCTTAACACTAGTTGAATTTATCAAAAGACAAAGAAATTATCGGGCGTTACTTTGCGGAACTTCATTTTATTATACATAGATGTGCTAAGCTAATCAGCTAACAGCCATGTAAAAAAAATGATGTGTCTTAGTTTTGAGAGATATGTAAGCAAATTTTTTATAGAATTTAGGTGATAAACGAGTACATAGGCTACTTGATGGTAAGTGGATGCTATGGGCCACAGACATTTATATTTATCCTCAATGAAGAATCCAAATTCAGATGCTTTGTTACCTCTGAGCATTAAGATTGAATGCTTCGTTTTCAGTAAAAAAGGGTCTCCGGATCTCTACACACGAAACACAGAAGTATGTGAGAACGTGCTCTTGGCGCGGTTGAGCCGACACATTCATGCAATACTTAAATATAGCTGTAGCGTTGCCCTACCACGTACAAAAGTCTAGTCCTATAAGCAACATCCATTTTCCATAAGGTATACAGATTTTTTCTCCAATTTAATGCTAGTTGTATAGATTCTATGATTTTAGTGCTGCTAGCCTTTTGGCTTTTACATCTTATCTGACTAAAAACTTTATCATAATTCACCTGGTGGTAAGTGTTGATGAAGCCGTGGATGGTAAATTATACAGTCTTAGCGTAACGAACGCCTAATTCACTCTAGCCTTAATGCCACCCATTCGAATACAATTTGGATGGGAAACCAGACGCCGCGCCAGTAGCTCATTCCACACCTTTGATGTATGCATTACAAAAGATGAAGGAAATCGTTTGGTTAGAATCGAAAAAACGAAATATCGAGCTGAAAACCCGACAACTGCCTAGTTTTCCAACGTTAGAGAGGAAAGATGAACTAAGGCATGTATTCCTGCGCACTCTCTCCGAAATATATCAAATAGGTATATCGTTGGTCTAGCGGTTGTAGTAGTAAGACTGCTGATCATGAGGTCCTGGGTTCGAATCCCAAAAAATCAATTATTGAGATTTTCTGTCAAGAAATTCTGTAGTAGTAAAAGTAGCAGCCCGGAGTCATGAAGTTGGCGGTGTCTCACCCCCGTACCTCGGGAAGCACGTAAAGCCGTTGGTCTTGCGCCTGATCTCTCTCTGATCGTGTCGGTTTACCATCCCATCGGATTACGAGAGTGAGGGAATAGAGAGTGCACCTGTGCTTGTGCATACACTTGGGCACTATAATCCCGTCCTGCGCCGATGGCTAGCCTCCGTTGAGGCAGGCCGCCGTGGCCGAAATTCGGTATGGAGAACATTATAGGTATATATCGAGAGAATATCTACTCTGCGCCTGTGCTCGAGACTGAAACGTTGCGTGCTCATTTGTAACTTTTGTAAAAAAAATATCTCTTGCTTTACATAATCCTTCCTCCATTTAGCTTTCGGATCACACCGTATCATCAATTCTCAATCTCGAACTAAGTTAAGTAAGCCCGAGCTCACAATATCTCGCTCAGAAACTTATCCCATTTACATCTCCTAAACCGCACATAAATCTTGATTTTATTCAAATTTTCACACCGATTGATCGCTATTGTTCAATTAGTCTATTCTATTTTTTATTACATTTTACGTAAAGTAAGATTTACTGGTATATTAAAACGAAACGAGGCATTCCATCTTATTCCTCACGGGTGACAAAGCATCTGCATTTTGATTCGTAATCGAGGATAGCTGTAGATGTCTATGTGCTACGGCAAGCACTTACCATTAGGTGGACCGTGTGCTCGTTTGTCACCCTATCCTATAAAAAAAATTAAAAATACAAACATAAAAGAATAAAAGAAAATTACACTTTTAATACAAGCCTAAATCAACTTCATAACCTAAAAATAATAAACTAATTGCAATATAAAGCTAAGACGTATTTTGAAGAACAATCATAGCCCCGACTCCAGTAACTAATAAGTGGAAATTATTATTATTTTTTTGAACAATTTCAGTTTACTAAGCGATATCAAAATTTCACGAGATTTAAAGTGGATAATTAACCGCCGACGCTTTCCCCTCCTTTAGTCTCTACGAAGGTGTGCAACCTTATTATATGTATAGGCACTACATCTTCACTATCACTACTACAGTATCAGGGGGGGGTTAAGGGTAGTATAATTATTATCCGTTTGTGTTTTAGCATAAGTTCAATGTCAAGCTGTGGACATTACGGAAACATTATCACAAATTTAATAATATTTCATACGTGGTAGAGCCCCGCTGCAGCTATATTACGGTTGTAGCACGAATGGTTCGGCTCAATCGGGGAAGGACCACATAGTGCGCGCGCAATTGTGGGAAGGCAGGAAGTACTCTTCAAACTATGAAAGACAAATCATTTTTATTTTATTGCGTGGATCTTAGCTAATGATTCTTTAACATCTTAAATAGAATAGATTTCCGTGTAACTCCAAACTCTGACAATTAATTACCAAAAATTGTTAAAAGTAAGTCACACACACACACACACACACACACACACACACACACACACACACACACACACGCACACGCACACGCGCACACGCGCACGCACACACACACACACACACACACACACACACACACACACACACACATACACACACACACTCACACACACATACACACACACACATATATATATGGGTCAATCAACTATTCTTTGTACGCTAACAATTCGATTCAAAAAATAAATTAAAAAATAAAAGTGTAAATTAATTCTAAATTCTACCTGAGCAATCAAAAGTAAGGATATTGAAAATTAAAACTAAGCTATCAGCAGTGCAAGTTTTTAATAATATAACATATTTTTCAGAATTTAAAATGTTGTTGTTCGTGTTTTTCGTCCCCTGTGTTACTTACTGATATATGGTTTTCATTCGAATAAAACAGTTACATATTGTTAGAAAATCGGTGTATTAAGTAATGCTAAGAAATATATACCCAACAAATTAAATATCAGAAGAAGACTTACGATAATAACAAACTTATACAATGTTATTGCGTCTCTTAAGTTACTTTTCAATGTTTTGAGAAATAATTTTTAATATTTAAGTTCAAAGTCACTAATGTTCAAACTAGCTTTTCAAGATGTGTGAAGTCATTACTTTGCCAATTCTCGTAAATATAATTTTGATGTAAGAAAATACTTTTTCATATGATTCAGTTGCAATGAATCTTTTTCAAATTTTAGGGACAAATCAGTAACTTCAGAGACATTTCGGTAACTTAAAAAACATATTATTATATCCTCAAAATTGGTTTATTTATCACGAACATTATTATGGATAAGTAACACAATAAGAATTACAAGACTTTTTTTTAAAAATTAAAAAAAAAAACGAAATGCCCTCTAATAATATAAATATAATTAATTTGAACCAGTAACAATATCAAGTTATTTTTAAATGTTACTTAATCTTTGTACTACATATTTAATATCACTTATTTTCTTTAGTAACATGGTCAATATAAAGGTTTACTATTAACGTAACATAGGTAGGCTCAGTAAAATCTTAGTCAATAGTTTCTTTAATATCAGTCTTTTACTCAGTATATTATGTACTATAAGTCTAAACAAGTAATTTTATATTATCATTGTAATAATGAGTAATAAAATATTATTTTTCGTATATGTCTAATTGTTCTTGAAAATTATAATAGACTTTTCCGTTCTTAATTATTTGTTTTGGTTTAGGGAGAATTTTTATAATATCATTAAATTCAACAAACGCTATATCGTTTTCGTCTAATTTAAACTTAGTTGCATCCTTGTATGCCCGGAGAAATATCACTTTAATCTCGCCATCGTTTTCGAGATCACTTTGAGTGCAAGGCTTGCGTAAGTATAAGTTTTATTCTTACCAGCGTGGACGCTTACTAAAAGGAAATCTCCGTTACTTGGCAGCATTTTATTATTTCCAGAAGTCGTAGGCTGATTTTCTTCATTAGATGCGTCTATGGAACCGTAAACCATATCGTAAACAGCTCCTCGTTTACCCGCGTCCTTGGCTAAGTCTGTGTAGTTTATTTCTGCTAGTGCTTTGCTAGCAGTAGTTACTGTAGCTCCGGAATACCTCGATTTGATTCTGTTAAGAGGTACATCATCGTCAGAAGACATAGAAGACGAAAGAGTGTTAACGATATTATTATCACCACATGCACCACTAGCATCTGCTGAATCCGTAGGAGATGAAGGAATCACCATCGCAGTATCATTGTCGACTGATGCATCAGCAGTTGTTGTTGATACCAGAGGAACAGGATGGTAAATTTTAGGTTCTAAACACTTGCATAATCCCCGTTCGCAAAAACAACTCAACGTACGATGCATTAATTCACCGTATTTGGAAGTGAACACTTGGTGCATGTGCAAAGTACCTTGTAATCTTGTAATGTTTTTTGGAAGCTCTTTTGAAATATTTTCGATATCTTATTTAGTTATTACATACAGTATAATCTTGCTCGTTCCCTGCAAAGCACTAACGAATTGTTCAATATTTGAAATGTCCTTCCCTCTGGCAACAATACCGTCTGCTGTTCGTTTTAAAAAACCACCAATGCCGTCAGCGGGTCCTTTGCCGTGGCCGGCTTCAAAAAATGACCAGGTCACCGCTTCAAAGTCATACTCAAAGGGTTTTGTACAAGCTAAATAAAAATTCTGTTTTTGCCTATATTGCGTGAAAGGACCATCGCTAAAAAAATGAAGAATTTTTACTTCAGGGAACCTAAATTTGATATTTCGCAAAATAGGATGCAAATGCGCCCAAATTGCAGCAGGTTGATGCAGAGTATGAGATGATACGGTACAAAAAGATTCAGCAATAATTTTTTTGTCCAAATTGACCATGTAAACCATAACCGTGTGGAGCGAAAGTTGCTGCCTGGATCCACCAAAGTGATGTGCCTGTACTTCCTCATTATATTTGCAGTTGTAGTTTTCGCTAAAATCTACTAGAATGGTGGCTTCGTGTAGTTGCATTTCGTCGATGCAGCGTCTAAAGTTTTTGTATTGAGTTTTTATATTATATACATGCTTTTTCAGTAGAATCAGCTCTATTTCGAAATCTTTTATTAAATATTCTATTTCTACTTCTTTAGTTTCTTTCACATTTTTAATAGATTTAATGTGTTTTCCGTCTTTAATATATCTGTCCTCTTTTCTAGTCTATTCGCTAAAATACACTTTACCTTTAATCTTTGTTTTGTCATAGTTAAGGTTCTTTCTTTTACATTCATGACAAGATCCGTACATGCAGTCCTTATTCGTAGAATCACAAACAGTGTACATTATTATTTCACTCAAATCTTTTGTTTCCAGTATCCGTTTACCATGTAATGCTATTGCCTTGTACATTATGTTGGAATGAATTTTGCACAGGCACATCTCACGCCCATCGACTGATGGTACTTTTATATACCAGGGCTGATTTTTGGTAAAATAAAAATAAGAACATCTCATATCTGGATTTTCTTGCTTAAAGGTTTTATAGAGATTCTTCATAGTATCCAAAAGATATCTCTTTTGGACTTTATGTTTATCTTTCGTGACTGTTTCTTTCTTACCTGCTGTGGTTCTCGATACATCATCTCGCTTAAAGAAATTCTTAATTTTGTTTTGCAAATCTGTCTTACCTTTATTTCGTTTTAAACTCGATCTCATTGTTCCTACCAAATTCAAACTATCCTTCAACAACTGTTTCTTTACTTAAAAAATAAAAATATAAATTTCTTTGCAACTTTCCGCTAAACATATAAAATGATGTGTCTCGGTAATATAGACTATCGCTAATTAGCGGTCAGCCGCCGTAGAGTCTATATTACCTGAGAATGCCTCGTGTAGAGGCGAAACACGTGTCGTATTATCGTCGATGGTGTGTCTTGCCTGGAATAGTGGTGTTGAGAGTAGTGGTGCTTGGTCTAGTGGTGACGGAGTTAGTGTATGCAATTGAGGAAGGGCGGGAGGTGCGCTTCAATCCAGGTAAGACACATCATTTTATATGTTTAGCGGAAAGTTGCAAAGAAATTTATATTTTTATTTTTTATTATAATGGATTTCCGCAAAGTAACGCCTGATTCTATCAATTATGTTTCTTTACTCTCGATTCACGTACTGTAGAGCCAATGAATATTCGTTTAAATAATCGTTTTTCAGCCATTTTTTCAATATTCTTATATCTTTGACTAATAGCACCTGTTAAAATTTTATATTTCTTTGAGTCTGTATTCTTAAATTCTTCCTGGTTTATATTTTTAATTCGATAAAACCTTTTCTTGTATTTTTCATACTTGAGTTTTAGTTTTTCGTTTTCCTTTTGGAGCTTTTGTTTTTATATAAATAATTTAGTTCTATCTCTTCTTACAGCTTTCCTTCCTCTCTTTACTTTACTTGTACTTGAACTCACAGGGGAAACTATTCCTTGGTTTCGAAGCAATATTTGCTCTTTGTCAAATCGTTGTGGTGCAGGAGATCCGGGAGGTGTAATATTAATTACATTTTCAAGCGCTCTTTTGCGTTGACGTTGCTGGCGTTTACGAAGCTTCCAAATTGTCCGTGCATTAATTTTCTCCTTAGCGGATAAATCTTTAATCAGTCTTTTATTTTTGTGATAGTGTGTTCTTTGCTTTTTTTTAGTTTTTTTATATTTTAGCGGATCTTTTTTAATTTCTCCCGATATCGTTTTTGCTTTTCAGCCGCTGTAAGAGCCATGTTTATGATATCTGTAACAAAAACAATTGTGTTTACTACTAACGACCGACCCGGCTTCACAAAGGCGGTTAGAAATAGAACAACTTCAAATAATGCAACGATAAATGTCCACCGAGTTACCATTAGGTCCCCTAAGTTACCATTTACAGTAACTCAAGGGACCGGTAACGGAGGAGACTTTTATAGGTTATAACTTAATCATAATACTTTTTCTCAAGAATAATACAGAATTGATTGTTACAAATGAAAAACAGACGTATTTAATGTAATCCATGACAATTATTGCACTGTATTAAAGAGTACTTACCAATTTTTACGTTGAAACTCTGGGGACACCGAATAAACACATACACGTTATCATACGCCACGCGGGCAACTAGCGATGATTGGTTAAAAATCAAAATGGCGGAATCATGTGAAACGAGTACCAGTAAGTCAATGCTTCGATTAATCATAACTAGAGCCATCTATGACTTCATGTACGTAATACAAGAATAGTCACTGAAGGGACATTGATTTTAGTATCAAATTGGGGACAAGATTTGTAAAATTAATAAAAATATATTATTCTGCTTAATTCTACTATGATTTATTGAATATTAAAGGGAAAACTATTATATAATTGTAATATGCCGTTAATGGCATGCTCCTATATAAAATTTCTAAAAGAATGCGATAACGATTTACAACATAGCCAGCGGGGACAATGAGATTTTATATGAAGATAGTGATGAGGTCCCCGAAGTTACCAATAAAATTAAAATAATTTGCCATCGATTAGATCGAATTTGTATTAGATAATACAGCTATCTATTCTAGCTTTATCTGTACAGTAATAAAATATTAAAAGGTTTTGCATATTTTGCAGATATCTATTTTTTTGTAATGAGGACATGGATGGGAACAAAGAATAATTGATTGACCCATATACATATATATATATATATATATATATATATATATATATATATATATATATATATATATATATATATATATATATATATATAATGTCCTTTCTCGAAATAACATCCAATAAGAAAGGATTTTCAATCCTTGAGGGGGTGAAGCAAGATATTATAGTTTATACTATATAACATAACGTAAAATACTCGCATAATGCTGCTCTCTTAAAACACTCTCCAGTTATCTAAACTCCCCATAAGAAATGTACGGTGGATATAAAGATTCGGACACCCTTTTACTGGTAACTGGGTATTCCATCCTCTATATATTATGTGCTACTACATGTTTCTTAACGTTAGTTGAACTGCGTGTTCTGTATATAAGACTGTAATTTATATAAAATTTAGAAAGATTAATTGATTAAGCAAATATATAATTAATTAACCTTCACAACGTTTCCTGTATACACCACATCGTTATGCTGCAAATTAAACGTAGCCCCGAGGTTCACCCAAGTCGGATGTGGGCTCAATCATAATTTATTAACTTTGTAATGGCGTGAGTTAAAACGGCCCTTAACTTTGGTTGGATCATTTAATAATTAATAGTAATAAGTTAAATTTCAGCGGCACTTCTCCGTAAGCAACGTAAGATTATTTTTATTGAACAACGGTGACGAGTGAACGCACAGTTCACTTGCGTGCTGCGTGGATGCTGCGGTCCAATAACATCGACGTCTATCCTCGATTAGAACTTAGAATTCAGATGCGTTGTTTCCCTTGAGGACTAAGATAACCAGTAATAAATGTCTCCAGTTCTCTACGCTCGCCATACGTAACACAGCATCATTACGCTGCTGTTTGACGCTGGTATTCTGTAAGAGAGTGGTCCCACCCCGGCGGCCCCGACTCATTTGTGCCGCAGCTATAATATTATAGTAGCAGTATGACTTTACCACGTAAAACTAATATTAATACCTTTTTTTAATTAAATAATTTAAGTTCGTGCTGAGACACGCGTAAAACAGAATTTCGCTCTTTTAATTCCGTGTTTACTAAGTTTGCACTGAAGTCAAAATTTTTGATAATGTTCATATTTTAATAAGTGAAAATTAAACGTGAAGGAAGAAACAGGCTGTCACCCACATTCTCATGAAGAACCTTATGAACTATCCTTGTAACTATCATAATATATCACGTATTGGTAGAGCCATGCTGCTGCTATAACATGATCATGGCCCGAATGGCTCGGTGTTTTGTATGTTAAGTGTAATGTAAGAAAACTGGCGACTTTTTCTGCTGGTAACGACGCATTCATTCTATCTCAGTTCTCAGTCATTCATCACCATCATTATTATTTTCACAATTCCACAGCTGAACATAGAACTTTTTTATAGGATAGGGTGACAAACGAGCACACAGTCCACCTGATGGTAAGTGGTTGTTGTGGCTCTTAGACATCTATATCTATCCTCGATTACGAATAAAAATGAAGATGCGTTGTCACCCGGTGAGGTCCAAGATGTAATGCCCCGTTTCCAGTAAAAGAAGTCTCCGGTTCTCTACAGTCACCACATGAAACACAGCAGCATCGAGCTACTATTTTACGCTGGTGAGAGCGTGGTCCTTCCCCGGTCGAGCTAACCCATTCATGCTATAATTATACTATTAATTTAACTGCAGCATGCCCTTACCACGTACCACGTATGAACTCTCCCAAACAATGTCACAAAAAACGGTCCAGGGCCATATACA